CGGGCGGGCGGGGGATGCGCATGCTTGCTGGGTGTCTTCCCAAATGCCGTCCCCAAAATTGCCAATGGTGCCCCCAGGATGTCTGCAATCATGCAGATAATGCTGGGATTGGATGGCCTGGATTCCTCCAATACTTCCTCCCAAACGACACAGCGCACCTGCCGCCGCCGTGGATGTCGATGCCCTCCTCCCCAAAGTGACTCGCTATCATGGCGCTGCACTCAATGTGCCAGCCGGGACGGCCCTGGCCCCAGGGCGAGTCCCAGGCCGGCTCGCCTGGCTTGGCAGCCTTCCAGAGCACAAAATCCGCGGGACCGCGCTTGCGGCCATCCACGTCCACCCGCTCCCCCGCCCGGTTGTCCTCCTTCAGAATGAGGTTGATGGCAGGTTTGGTGACTGCCCTGATTGCATGCTGCCCATTCCCACCAGCTCTCAGATGCACCACACCCATGTTGCTCCTCCCGTGTGGTCTGTGCTCCTCAACTAAGCATTCCAGGCAGCCTGTGGCTCACTAAGTGGGCGGTGTACAGACGCTCAGTGTCCTACCTGCTTCCTCCCAGACAGCGCGCCATACTGGGGCAGAGTCGCCACCTCAAAGTACACATCCCCATCCACGCAGTAGGCATGCTCATTTCTGCAGTGCGGCATTGCTAAGACAGATTGCCAAGGCGCAGAGCCACGGCTAAAAGTACTGGCTTGCTGCACATCCCAACCTCTTCATCAGGGCCCGGCATCATCATGTGCAATCAATTATATGTTCTGCATGTTTTCAAGTGACATATGCACCCAGCAATGCTCCGAAAACAGACTGTATATGCCAAGATTCAGATTCAGGCCTACCTGAGGATGGACTGAATCATGGAGATAATGGCTGGAATGTTGTCCGTGACTCGTGGCTCTAGCACAGGGTGCAAACAGTTCAGTGCCTCCTGCAGTTTGCATGGCCCGGGCAAAAAGTCAGAAGCAATTTCTGTACAGAGTCAGGGCAGGCTGAAGGGCCTGCATGGCTGAATCTCCGGAACACAGCATCGTTGCCGCACATTGATCAGCAATCAAAACCGTGACAGCCAAGTTGCAAGAGTGGGATGTCAGAATCCCCTCTGAACATCCAGTTCCTCGTCTTCCTCCAGTACTGCCCATCCCAGTCAACTAGCCACCGTACACACCCTTCTTTTACCAGCACCACTCACCATGTCTGTGTGGAATTCATGAATGAAGCGCTGCGTCAGGCTCTGCCAGTGCTCGCCTGCCTCCCTTGCCCTCTTGATGATCTTGTCATCGATGTCTGCCGAGTTGAGGAGGAGTGGTGGTGTCTGTGAGCACAAGCAGCTTGCAGACTTCCACAGGGACCGACCTGGGTCTGGCAACACCAGCTCACAGGGCCGTCTCCAGGGCACAGGAATGTGCCCCTGAACTCAGCAACATCATGCCTCACCTGTGAAGTTACGCACATATCGCACTGGGTACCCCTTGTCCAGCAGGAATCTGTAGAGGATGTCAAACGCCACATACACCCTAGCATGCCCTGGTCACATGGGAAGGTATAAGCCATGGTGGGTGGGAGGGTGATGGAGCTTGGTGTGGAGCTTGGTCTGGGATCCAGAAAGGGCTAGGGTGTAGCCCCAAGGCTGTGCTCATGGCCTGGACCTCGGCATGCCAAACTCCTGTTGGAATGGCGCACATCAGCCAGCATCCCAGCCCGCCCTCAGTGCTGCAGATGACATGCTGCGTGACCGGATCTATCTCATCAAACCCACCTATGTGACTGAAGTCATACACAGTGACGCCGCAGACATACATGTCGACCCCTGGCTGGAGTCGCTCTGGGTCCCTGACGGTGAAGAGCCGCTTCTGGCGAGTAGCAGTGTCGTAGAGGTACAGGTCTGGACCCGTGATGTCTGACCCATCAGGGGAATTGTTTCTCCTGTAGGAGGCCAGGCCTTGGCTCCCCATGCGTGAGCATGCTCGCCTCTGACCAGCTGGGCCTGTTGCCTGCAGGGTGGCGGGGCTTGCAGCACGATCATCTTCAACCAAGCTACGCGAGTGGGATGATATATAAGCAGAATGTTCTTAGCTGCGCTCCTGTGTAGTAGCACTCACCCATCGCTGGTGTGGACTGCCCCCCAGGAGGACCGACATCATCCGGGTTGGTGCATGGACGGGCAGCATCGGTGCATGTGTTATCGCACTCAGGGAGCGGACTAATGAGGGTATGCAGAGCCTTGTCAACATTCTAATATACATTGTCAGTTCACATATCGCTCAAAGAGCGTTGAGGTGCATGCATAAGTATCGCACACCCCATGCGAGTTGCAGAGAACGAGTGCCAGACAGAAAGAGCTTAACCGGGTTCTGGCTCGCTGGTTGGTAATTAACCCAAGTAGGATTCTGTATGGTCTCAGTCTCCCCAGTCTTACTGTGCGCGGCTTCTCTTGAGCGCTGGTGGGGTCTCGGATCAGATGCACAACCCGCAGCATAAAGCGCGCGCGCGAGTTGTGTCTGATTCTGGATCCTATATTCACGCCCTCTTGGTAATGGTCGCTGAGATTCAGAATATGTTTGTGACCCATACTGCAATGGAATTCTGTAGTGGAAGGTTCTGAAACACCAGGTCTCCTGGTCTGAGACAGGACCGTGACTGCGCCATGGCAGCGCGCGGGGGGGAGGTCGACTGGGAGAGGTGCGTGTCTGCCGGTCGGTCCTGCGTCAAGTGTGGTGCGCTGCCAGGGGATCCGTTTTCTATGTATGCAAGCACGGATAGCAGGAAGGTGGCCAGACTCGCGCTGCCCAGCTGTAAACAGGTTGCTTCAACCCTGTCCTTCCCCTGCCACAGGCTCGACAAGCGAAAGTTCTTCGTGTATGGAGGGGGCCTGTTCTCGGTAGGCTAAGAATCTGGGACCTCAAAGGACGACTGTTTCAAACTCAGCATTTTGTGTGATTGCTTGCCGCCGTGCCTCACATATTTTCCGCACTCTGTAACCCATTGCTCCTGCCACCCATGTGCAGGCCCTGACCACATGTCTGTACCCGCTCTCGGCCATAAAGACCAGGCAGATGGCCCTGGATGGCGCCCCGGCAGGCCTCAAGGTAGACGCTGGGGTGTAGAACTGGCGCGCACACGGCTGGTTGTGACTCCTTCTTGATGCGAGAATGAGGATGTGTCGCATGTGTCATCAGGTTCCCAGGCCTGTCAGGCGTTGGCTCCTTCACACCTCAGAACCCTTCGTCCCGGGCCCCACTCCAGGGTGCCGTCTGGACTGGCAGAACGGTGGTGGCTACTGAAGGCATCCGCGGCCTGTATGCCGGGTTTGGGACGGTCATCTTCGGCATGATCCCCGCCCGCATGGTGAGGCGGAAGAGAGGGTGGTGGGAAGGTGGGGCCCTCGGCTGCCTTGTCCCGGTTGGTTTGGGGGGGTGAGCTTGCGTTCGGACTTGCACCCTCAAGCCAATCCTCACTGCTGGCCAACGTTGGGGGCTGCGGCCATGGGCCAACCTGTCGCTTCATGACCCTCCCCCCTCCTCGCCGTGGGCACCCCAACCCGTTGCTGTACCCCTTCAACCCCCCCCC